AAGTCCCGTATCTCCTCCAGAACTTTAGCTAAGCTAGCCACGTGTGGCTCTGCGCTAGCTTCCTCATCATCGACCTGTGCAGGCGAGTTGTTCGTTGTATTTTCTTCGTTGGTAGACTCTGAGCCAATGTTTTTCTTTTGTCCATCCTTTCTTCCCATCTTCGCCCCGTTAACTATTTCTAATTTTACAGAGACATTTCTTATTTGGCAATTAAACGAGGCGAAATGAATCTCTTACCGGGGGAGAAGCTAGACTAGGCTGCCATTCGGTATGGTGACGTCACCGGAACCATGACCATCATTTTCAAGTCAATAAAATCATCTGAATTCATATCAGGAGTCAAGTAGTTAGTTTGTTTATCATGTAGCCGTGTAATAAGCGTGATAATGTGCAGCGAGGCATCCCGTACACATTCAACTGCTTACAGTTTATAGCTAACGTCTAACGGCTAACAGCCAACTGCTAACAGCTACCTGCTTACAGTCAACGGCTAACGGCTAACAGCTAACGGCTAACAGCCAACTGCTAACAGCTACCTGCTTACAGTCAACGGCTAACTGCTAACGTCTAACGGCTAACAGCCAACTGCTAACAGCTACCTGCTTACAGTCAACGGCTAACGGCTAACAGCTAACGGCTAACAGCCAACTGCTAACAGCTACCTGCTTACAGTCAACGGCTAACTGCTAACGTCTAACGGCTAACAGCCAACTGCTAACAGCTACCTGCTTACAGTCAACGGCTAACTGCTAACGTCTAACAGCCAACTGCTAACAGCTACCTGCTTACAGTCAACGGCTAACGGCTAACAGCTAACGGCTTAGTTTACCAGCTGTCCTCCTGCTGATATCCACATGAATGTGATGTTCATGATGGCATTAGGAGGAGAAAAAAGGATGCGTACCTGGACGTGTCGATCATCAGTTTACGTAATAAAGAATCACAAAAAGTACATTTTTGTTTCCAATCAGCGACTAGGTCAGGGGTCTGCAACCTTTTTGAACAAAAGAGCCATTTTGCCCACTTTTCCAACAATTCTTTTTGTCTGGAGCCGCAAAACATATTTGATAGCTTGATAGCTTATAAAGTTGTATTTATTGTTACATCATAGACAAAAACTACAGTTTTTTTGCATTTATTATTTATTACATTATAAAACTGTTAACCTCTAATAAGAAACAAATTACTCTTATAAGGAGAATTAAAATACACAGGCCTACTTTAAAATAAATTAAACACAGCACTTGGGAGTCCTCTGCACATTTGAAGGAAAAAAATACAATAAAAATGGACCCACTTTGAAATAAATCAAACCTATAGCTGCACCCTAAAGAGTTTACTGATTGAATTATGATGAAGATCGTCAGCTGTCTTCCTCTTCCGTGTTGTTCCTGCAATACGTAAAGGCTGCAGCACCTTTGACAACTTCTCTCCACATATCAAACATCCCGGTAAGCCAGCATCGTCTGCTGTGAAAGCAGATAACTCTCTCCACGCAGAATCAAACCCTCTGTGTTCCTCCCATACTTTTCTTTTTCTTTGATGTATCCACAGTTCGCTCATCGAGCCGGGGGTCAGGTTATTCGCCTCAAGAAAAGGCGCTGGCGCGGGACCGTAGCAGGATGTGATGCATATTTTAGTTGACCTAATTAAAACCGTTTTGTTTTTTATTTATGTGTCACAGTATCACCTCAAAATACAAGATACTGTAGTGCCGAGAGATGGGAGTAGGAAGCGGTGCATTGAAGGTACAAAGTGGTGCTTTAATGAGCAGCAGAAACGGACATGTTGTCGGGTCGCAGCCCGGAAAGAAGAGAAAGAAGCCAGGAGGGCACACAATAAATACTGTCAGCAACACATATGTCCGTGCGGAAACAATACCCCCAACCTGTAGTTCCATGCGTGAATTATGTCAATCAGTGATCACTGCACAAGCCCCCTCAGAATTCAACCATGGACACAATCCTCGCGTCCGGGAGGAAGCACCACAGGGGCCGAGGAGGGTGGGGCCGCAGGCGAGGGTCGGGCCATGGAAAGGGCCGCCGGAAGGGGGCCGCAGGAGAGGGTAGGGGCCCCAACGAGGGCGAGGACATCCCCACCGGGGGGTGGGGGGTGGGCCGGAACGGGCCGTCGTCAGGGGGCCGCAGAAAGCAGGGTCGCTGTGTTGCGACGCGGGGGCGGGCGTGAATATCCCGGTGGTCCCCAGCAGGGAGGAGCGCTGCCCGGCCGCAGGCGAAGGCACAGCGGCGGCGGGCACGGAGTCCCCGGAAAGAAGGAGCGGTATCCCCGGGGGGCAAGAGCAGCATCCCCGGGCGGAAGGAACCATGGACAGGGGAGAGGCCAGACGGGGCGACGTCCGAAGCCGCTGCCGAGGCGAACCGTGAGCCGCGGTTAGAGGAGAGGCCAGGCAGGGTCCGGGAGCGCGCCACCCACGGGCCGATGAAGGCGTGGGCGACGTCCGAAACCGTCGAGGCGAGACGGGGTCCAGAAGCACGCCACCCAGGCGCCGATGAAAGCGTGGGCGACGTCCAAAGCCACCGTCGAGGTGGTGAAAAAGCGAGAGGGTCCACACGAGGCCGACCAGACATGGTCGGACCTCCTCTCAGGCACCAGGAAAAAAACTCAAAAGGGTCGTCCTGTCCACGATTAAAAACAGGTGGGCGAAATTGCGAGAGGATCCACACGAGGCCGACCAGACTTGATCGAACCTCCTCTCCGGCACCACAAAAAAAGAAAAGGGCTAACAGTTGGATGTCGACATGGAAGCAGTCAGCCGGTAGCTGCTAGTCGTTAGCTGTCCGTTAGCCGTGTTAGCGAGCGCAGCAGGGCACACAATAAATACTGTCAGCAACACATATGTCAGGGTTGCCAACTTTGGGTACCTGGCTGGAGTGAGATTTTGATATCATGGGTTTAATTCGGTTTAATTACACATATGCGCATGAAATGACTGCTATCGTGTCAGCAGCGAGACCTTAGCATATATATAGGATATATATACAATATATACAAATACACAATAATGGACACAAATTATAAAGGGCACACAGTTTCATTCACTAATGAAAGTCAAACATGTTTGTTTCCACTGTTTTATTGTGTGCCTGTCGCGATAAGCAATTCATTGACTTATCGTACGATAAATAAAAATGAACTCGATAACTTTTCTGACCTCGATAAATTGCCATTTACATGAGGATGTGACTAGCAGTTTGAAAGGATGTACTTGAATTATTATTATATATTATTATGTCAGTGGTCTAAAATGGTCATATGATACAACGGTGCCGACAATATTATCGTTTATCGCAATAATTTCCGGGAAAATGTATCCACAAAATTAATTATCGTGAGAGGCCTATACATGAAACACACACACAAATCTACAGACTTACTCCAAACTGCCAAATATATTAATTAACACACTCTCACTCTCATATACTCTTTGACTCTATTTTGGCCTAGTAGAACAATAAGCAGCAGACTTTTACTTTTTTATCATTTCTACTGGATCTTAGATCTGCGCATGCGCAATACGGGCAGTTGCGGCTCCAGAGTATTTTTGTTGGGTAATCTATGGTAGGGCTAACCCATACAGTGGTGGGGCTCAAGTCAGTATTTGCAATGTAATTACATACACGCTCCCCCCGACAGTGAAACGCCATGCGTGAGGTTTAGATTATTTCCCTGTCTCTCTCAATCCAAATTGAACTGTATGAAATAAAAAGGCACATTTGTCTTGTAGTAAATAAAAAGGGCGACCTGGAGCCAATCCTGCAATTTCCCCACAAGTGAAAGAGTTGACCTGCTGAAGACCCAACCCCTGCAGGGGGGTCAGGGGGATTGTCCCCCAGGAGATTTTTTTAAATACTAACATCAAATACACATTCTGGTACTCTCTTGAGAAGAAAAATAAATAAATCTATTACCACACGACATATTTAAAAAAATGAATGCCATTTTAGTTTTTTGTTACTTTGTTCTGAAAGCTGAACCTGCTGCTCCTCACAGAGAGAAGAGGGAAGAGGCTGTGTGAATTACTTTACATTGTGGATAAGGGTGGATAGCCCCCATTGTTCTGTGTGTCAAAATGAAAGACAGCCCACACACCTATCAATCATCAAACCGTGGGGTCTTATTTCATTACGTGTTGATTTCTATCAACACGTAATGTTGTATCGATGTATAGAGATGTCCTACCGCAAAAGTATTCTCCGTCGGGACTTCCTGCAACAACACCACGCCGTTATCGTGATTCTGATTGGCCAGAAGACATTATCAAAGATGTTCTATTGAGAAGACGATCACTACGTGACAAAAGTTTTGAAAACCGTTTCTAGTCTTCGGTATTCTTGTTTTTGGCGTGAGAATAGTTTGGGCAGCGTGAGAGCGTGAGGTTGAGAGTGAAAGCGTGTGTCACACGCCAGATGCGTGAGAGTTGGCAACCCTGATATGTCCGTGCGGAAACAATACCCCCAACCTGTAGTTCCATGCGTGAATTATGTCAATCAGTGATCACTACAATACGAAACATTTTCAACCGCGCAACAACATTTAATTAGTCCTACAAATACTTTTATTTGATTTCCTTCTTATTTTTGTCTAAGCTTAAGGGAGCCAGAGCAGAGGGCTGAATGAGCCGCATGCGGCTCGAGAGCCGCGGGTTGCCGACCCCTGGACTAGGTAATATGCTGATCATCGGCCAAAGCAGGCCAGTAAATAATCAAGATACAATTATAACACATAGCTGGCAGATTGTGTTGTAAGCCTGTAACCTCTGAACAGAGAATCTGAGTCCTGCGGTGAGTTTAGCTCTGTTAGCCGTTAGCCGAACACAGTCAGAACTATCCAAACTGAACCACTGGTGATCACTTGCGTCTCTTAAAGAGTATAGTGGACTCAGCCGTCAATGAGGGTGTAAAAACTCAATGAAATATAATTTCAATAACTGTGTCATAAATGAGAGGAAGAACAGGACATTTGAGATATTAGAGACACCTTCAGTCTGTCTGTCCATACCTGAGTGTCTCCAGTCTCCAGAGTGGATCCTTACGTCCAGCAGACAGCAGCTTCTCTCCTGAGTCTCCTGGATGATTGTAGCTCAGGTCCAGCTCTCTCAGATGGGAGGGGTTGGAGCTCAGAGCTGAAGCCAGAGAAACACAGCCTTCCTCTGTGACCATACAGCCTGAGAGACTGAAACCAGGGAATACAGTAAACTCAGTGTTTTGATTATGTCAGCATGAAGATACAGATGTTGACCAACTTTATTAACATGAACCTGAAGCTCGATGAGCAGGTTTTAAATTAAAACTATCAACAACAAAAAAACCTGTGCTCTGACCTGAGAGTCTCCAGTTCACAGTGTGGACTCTCCAGTCCAGCAGACAGCCGCTTCACTCCTGAATCCTGCAGGTCGTTGTTACTCAGGTCCAGCTCTCTCAGATGGGAGGGGTTGGAGCTCAGAGCTGAAGCCAGAGAAACACAGCCTTCCTCTGTGACCATACAGCCTGAGAGACTGAAACCAGGGAATACAGTAAACTCAGTGTTTTGATTATGTCAGCATGAAGATACAGATGTTGACCAACTTTATTAACATGAACCTGAAGCTCGATGAGCAGGTTTTGAATTAAAACTATCAACAACAAAAAAACCTGTGCTCTGACCTGAGAGTCTCCAGTTCACAGTGTGGACTCTCCAGTCCAGCAGACAGCCGCTTCACTCCTGAATCCTGCAGGTCGTTGTTACTCAGGTCCAGCTCTCTCAGATGGGAGGGGTTGGAGCTCAGAGCTGAAGCCAGAGAAACACAGCCTTCCTCTGTGACCATACAGCCTGAGAGACTGAAACCAGGGAATACAGTAAACTCAGTGTTTTGATTATGTCAGCATGAAGATACAGATGTTGACCAACTTTATTAACATGAACCTGAAGCTCGATGAGCAGGTTTTGAATTAAAACTATCAACAACAAAAAAACCTGTGCTCTGACCTGAGAGTCTCCAGTTCACAGTGTGGACTCTCCAGTCCAGCAGACAGCCGCTTCACTCCTGAATCCTGCAGGTCGTTGTTACTCAGGTCCAGCTCTCTCAGATGGGAGGGGTTGGAGCTCAGAGCTGAAGCCAGAGAAACACAGCCTTCCTCTGTGACCATACAGCCTGAGAGACTGGAACCAGGGAATACAGTAAACTCAGTGTTGTAATTATGTCAGCATGAAGATACAGACGTTGACCAACTTTATTAACATGAACCTGAAGCTGGATGAGCAGGTTTTAAATAGCTTTAATATTTAACCTGTTAAGCCCTGAGCCTGTTTTTCAGGTCTCAGGCTCGAAAATGACATTCCCAGAACAAATGACCATATCTTCCCTTCTAAAAGGGGTAAATTAATAATCTTTTTTCTCAAAGTAATGATAAACCTGTGAGTTGGATGTAGAAAAGTCAGAATCAATATAGAATTTTTTTATTTTAAAGTAAATTCAGATTGAACATAGTAAAAAAATGTAAATTATAGTGTCCGTCCAAAAAAAAAACATTACTTATAGCGAAAACCACCCTTGAATGATGGGATAGTAGACTAAAAGCTTTAGGAAAGCTTTAGGAATATTATAACATATAAGTACCCTGTATCAAGATTGATGCAAAACAAGTGACATTTGACCTTTTTAGAGAGATTTAGAAAAAACAAACAATTTCTGGGGTCATTTGGGTGGATTTTCCATATCTCTGGCCCCCCTCGGTCGATTTTGATGATTGACACCTCTTTTAAACCGTTAGAGCCAATAGAATCGAGAGGGAAGTTCCTAAAATCCATCTAAACATTACCCATTGGTGAATGAGTGATGCGTAGCCAGAATGCCCAAAACCGGAAGCTGGGTTGTAGCTCTAATAGCAGCTAATATGAAATCTCAGTTTTTGACAAAAATGGAATGATGGATTATCAGTAATCAATTCAAAGTGACACAGACACATTGAATTAACCTATGGATTCACCTTCAGCAGCGTTTTGGGAGACTTCCGGTATGAGGTGTGCTGAGTACACGCATGCTCGGACAGCATACACTCCACCATCACAGACCAGGCAGCATATACATTCTCTGGAAGCTAATGCTACTGAAGTCGACCAACGTCTCCAGCAACTTGAGGACGCGTGCTCCGCTCTGAAGGGGGACAACGAGACACTCAAAACTAAGGTAGCGGATTTGGAGGGACGCAGCAGACGCCAACATTTTCGGATTATTGGCCTACCTGAATCTATCGAAGGTCCCCGCCCGTCTGCCTTCTTCTCTCAACTCCTCGTTGATACCCTCGGCACGGAGATTCTTGCTTCGCCCCCCGAGCTTGACCGAGCTCACCGGAGCCTCGCGCTCAAGCCTGCCCCAGGAGGGAGACCGAGACCTGTCATCCCGCGCTTCCACCGCTTCCAAATTAAGGACCTGGTGATCCGTGAGGCCCGCAGGCAGGGTGAGCTGAACTACAAAGGCCATAAGATCCGCTTGTATGATGACTACAGCCCCGACCTGTTAAAGCAGCGCGCCGAGTACAGAAGCCCCATGGCTGAGCTGTACAAGCGCGGGTACAAGCCGGCTCTCCTCTTCCCAGGACTTGAACATAGCTCCGTAAGCAAGCTAACTGTCATGTAGTTACACTGTGTTATATAATTGCTCTAGATACACTTTAACTGTCAATTCAGATGTACATTGATGCAGTCATATTCTGCTGGTAACATTGAATAGTTTGTCCAATGTTTTTTCAGCTAGGTTTTTTATTATATTGTTTAATTTATGTTTTCTTATCCTTTGCCTGTGGGCTGCTTCTACACTTAATATACTAAACTCGGTCTCACGCCACACCTTTTCTCTCCCTGTTGCTTGTCAGCAGGCGGGGGGTGCCAGGTATGGGGACAGAGACATGCAGGTACACCACCTGCCCAGTATCATTTTATGCTAAGCTCTAACTCCTTAACAGCACCAAGTGGTGCTTTAAGATGTACTAGTTGGAATGTCAGGGGCCTGAATTCTTCTGTGAAACGTAACAATGTGATTAACCATTCAAAACATTTAAACGCTAAAATTGCCTTTTTGCAAGAAACCCACCTCCAACCATCAGACCATCTTAAACTTTGCAGAGGGTGGGTGGGACAGCTTTACCATTCTTCTTTTTCGAGCAAGGCCCGAGGCGTTGCAATTCTTGTTCATAAATCTGTCCCATTCTCTGTGTCCAATGTTATATCAGACCCAAGTGGCCGTTTTATTATCGCAACTGGCAAAATATGTGGCAACAATCTGACGTTGACGAACGTGTATGGCCCGAATTGCAACTCTGTCTCCTAAAAATTACGTTCCCACAGAACTAAACTGCATTCTCAATTACGTTTAGCTAGAAACGTATTTTCCCCCACGTTACGTTTGTTATGAACGTATCTCAAATACGTTTATTTTCTACATATCTTTGCCATTTATTGTCTTGCTTATAATAATGATAATAGTCATTTATAAATATCATTTTAGAGCACACATTTGAAATCGACGATCGGGCTCGATATCCTATGGTTAAATTAAAATCAGTAGGCGAGGCTGTAATTTCACCAGCTGCGAGGCAGAAAATAATAGTTTTAACATGCCAAAAAGCTGCTGTGTCGTTTATTGCACCTCAAACACCTCAAACTTCCTCTGAAGAAAGGACAGTAACAGAAGAGCTCTGTGGCTTCAGGCTTGATCGCCGTTCAAATGACAGCGTTGGTTTCCCCAAAAGTGGGCGGGGCTGTAAAGTGACGTAGATTTCACTCTCATCTATTATTCAAAACCATTCTATTTATTCTAACGTAAATTACATGCCAGTGTTTTATCTTTTTATTTAGCGATTTGTTTCTGTTGTTTAACTGGGAATGTTTTCACATTGAACCGGAAGTACGTCACTTCACTTTGTCTTCTTCGTCCCTTTTACGTTCCAGACAATGCATGGCTCAGCGTAACAGACAGAACAGCGACCCCAGGTGTGTCTACATTGGAATTACATCTTCATTACTGAAGGAAAAATACTTTACCTAGTGTTTGTTAACTGGGTTTTTAATGCAGTTGGCTTTTCTTAATGGTTACAATATTGCTATGAGTTATATCTGAAGCAAATTATGTTTCTGAAGATGTGTAGTCAATTCCACCCTTCAATGTAGCATAAATGTGAACTCTCATTACAGGAACAATACCGGAAACAGACCTAGGAGAGATCCTCAGCTCGCTGATTGGATGTTTCAGCCGCAATGCACGTTGGGAAGCCTGTGTCTATGCGATGTGAAATCCGAAAACATTTAAAAAAAAATAATAATACTTTATTCCAAGTGTGCTTGCTTTTCTCTTTGGAAGTCATCACATAACGGCATTGTAATACACGGTTCGGCTGCATTAAATATTACACATCTGCCGGAGTTCTTTATTTATAGAGCCATGATTAGAAGACTTCTGGACAAACTGGAAGAACTGAATACGTGACGTGGATCATAAACATATCAACAATTAAACAACATCTTACATTTCTCTTCACAAAATACGTCTCCTTGCAGTATCAATACTAATTCGGCTGACTTTTATATTTGATCCAATTGGTAGATAGGTTATATTTACCATAACGGTGCACAGCTGATAGAAAAGGACTTGTAGTTTTTAAAGATATTACTGATTTTCTTTGAATATAAGAATGTAAATACTGAGTTGAGAGAATAGTCAGGGGATTTGGGTGATGGGAGACACATCTATGGAATCACAATTTTCAATAGCTTACCATCAAATGACGGATATACCTTTCTGTCTGTGATGTTTTACAAATCAGATATTAATGTGTAGAAGTAAAACATGAGAAATAATATAGCAATATCCTGTAAAATCATGTAAAAACATGAATAAAACTACACATCTTCAGATGTTATACATACATAAGTGTCCTACACTAATAATACAAAGTTATTATTAGTATGCTGTGTGTACCTTGTGTGCACCGCCTAGTGGTTAAAGCACGTTGTTTAATTATTTTTGTTGAATAATGTTATTTGATGAATAAAATATTAAGAGTACATACTTAGGGGGAAAGTAGAAGGTCAATGATAGAAATATAGAATATAAAAAATCAAGAAGATACTGTAAGTGATCTCTACAATAAAACAGTTTAGTGCCGGATGTACAAAGATATTAATATGAGGATGTGCAAAACAGACAAACTAATTAACCTTTATTAACACATTAAAGAATACTTTAGGTTAAGGTCTTCTTTCAAATAAGAAAAAAGCTTTGGGGGTATCTACAGATAAATATTAAGTCTGACAAAGTACTTAACGTCTAATATATTGCTTTCCTGCAATGTTAACTATGTTGAAGCACTTATTTTAACTGATATTATACACATTAATTATACTCTTATGTATGTAGATAGTATAAGAAATGTGCAGAATATGTTTAATGGTGGAGGTATACACATATTGATAGATGTCTTGTAATGCACTGTTGAGGAACCTGTGACCCAAGTTTTTCATTCATTGCATAACTTCAACATAGTTGTGTATATGATATGTCAATAAACCTTAGAAAATCTTGAAAGGGATGTGCAAAATAGCCATTATATACAGTCTTTAATTAACTATTAGTAGAGAATAACGAGTAATGAATATACTTTATAGGGATCTGCAGATAAATGTCTTCTCAAGCACCAACTAATATCTCGCCTGATTGTTGGCACTTGACAATCACCTTCCCTGAATTGTACTCAGGTGTAACTAAAGTCTGCTTTAAGGGTTGTTTATATTTCACATCATTAATCAGAATCTGCAAAGTAACTAAAATAAATGTAGTGGAGTAAAAATACCAGGTTAACCTCTGAATTGTAGTGGAGTATATACACCATCTCCCAACGTGCATTGCGGCTAAAACATCCAATCAGCGAGCTGAGGATCTTTCCTACGTCACTTTACAGCCCCGCCCACTTTTGGGGAAACCAGCTGTCATTTGAACGGCGATCAAGCCTGAAGCCACAAAGCTCTTCTCTTACTGTCCTTTCTTCTTAGAGGAAGTACAGAAACACGTAACTCTGGACTTGTTTTAATGTTTGAGGTGCAATAAACGACACAGCAGCTTTTTGGTATGTTAAAACTATTATTTTCTGCCTCGCAGCTGGCGAAAT